GGACGTGGTCGAGCAGTTTCAGGGCCGAAGAGATTACGAGAGAGTTGTAGTGGGAGAGAGATCCCTTGAGGTTTGTCCGGAGGGAGGAGGGTAACTTCTTCAGGCTAGGCATCCGTAGAAGAGGCTTCGCAGTGGGGTTAAAATTGAATCAGAGATAGTAGGAACTGCAGATGCTGGAGAATCCGAGACAACAAGGTGCAGGGCTGGATGAACACAGCAGGCCAAGCAGCATCATAGGAGCAGAGAGGCTGACGTTTCGGGCCTAGACCCGTCATCAGAAAAGGGGGAGGGGAAGGGGATTCTGAAATAAATAGGGAGAGAGTGGGAGGCGGATAGAAGATGGATAGAGGAGAGGATAGGTGGAGAGCACGAGAGTTGGTTCGCAACTCCTGGATTTCTGAGGTGGTGACCTTGTCCTGTCAATAGTTACTCACTGATCGGCCTGTTGAAATTGTTCATCCCTTTATTCCCATCAAAACTTGCGATGCTGATACAATTTCTTCCTTTAACCTTTTGTATTATACAGAAGAAATTCCTAATTTCTCAATTTTCTAAACCGAGTGACAGTGTAGCTCAATAATTTTGTTCCATCGTTCAGTTTAACACTAATTGTTGCATTGAATGTTTCCAGTGCAAAAAGTTACTTTCAGGAATAAAACCTGTGATGATCTTTTGATCTGTTTGTCTCATTTTAAAACCCTTTTCTGCTCTCCACAGCCCAGGGGACTGCCCCAATAGTGCGGATTCAGCCTTCACCTACCTCAGTAGGTGAGGGAGAGATGCTAGAGTTACACTGCCAGGCCACAGGATACCCAAAACCCAGGATCACATGGTACAGGGTCGCTGGCAGTCTCTCAGCCAATCACGAGGTAGGTGCAGGTAGTGCTAGATCAATGCTGGTTATCCTTCTATACGGAAATATTTATAGATGAGATTAGTTAGTGTGCGAACAATTTGTTGGTTGGTTACCTCCCTCGACAACAGTTATCGGCACGGCACAAAGAGACCAAGGGTCAAGTCTGTATCAACTAACCACTACCTTTTATTGGTTTAGTTAAAACAGACATGCAGTTTGATTAGGAAAAGGTTAACAGCAAGCATTCTGTTCATTACAAGGCTAAAATCCTACCATACACCCACTAAGTTTGATGTTCCCGGAACGGTCAACTAAAATAAAAGCTAATACCCAAGAGTAGAAGTTCATGCTGGCCAGGCATTTTTTCCCAGATCTTGGGGTCCTCTCCGAAAGCCCAAGTCCACGACTTTGCAAAGTTTGCTGATGACTCACCAAAATCCTTCATTTTTATCCGTTTTCCTTATCTTCCCAAACCGTGGTGCCTTGTTCTTATTGGTTCATAGCTCATCCAAGTGCCATGTCTTTCCACTGTATGCTGACTCCAAAGACAGCTTTAGGGTTACCTCCTTGTTTGTCCTCCAAGTAAGGATTTCCTGTTTATGTCATCCCTCCGAGCTGAACCAGTTCAAAACGGCTCGAGCCAGCAACTAGGGCTTGGGTAACTTCAGTTCACAGTGACTGTCTTTGTGTGAGCAGGCTCTGACCAACAAAATGTTTAACTGCTGTGAAGCAGGGGATGCATCAAAGCACTGCGTGAAATCACCTTGAACACCCAAACGTTAACCCTGTGATCATACAGTTGGTGTCAATATCAAGCTGGTACTATAACCTGTATCTTTACCTCTGAATCCACAATTTGGAGGGGCATTGGAAGTATACTCAGCATGAGTCTTCACCCAAAGTCCATAGCTGTGCATCCTCCCTGGCTCATCACTGGATGGTCTTGTGGATCACGAATGCCAGCTCGATGTTCCTTTTGAGTCTTGTTTTCCATTCTCCAGCAAAAGTCAGCCCTTCTTCTTTACAGTGCAGCAGCTGTGAAATATGATAGTCATTGTGTTTGTCAATATTAAAAGTAGCCAGGGAGAGCGTGAGTACTCAAGACTGTAAATTTCCTGTTAATGCTCTAGATACAGGGCCCTGTGTTGCGCATCCGTCACATGACTCCTGCTGACATCGGGGATTACATCTGCCGTGCAGAAAATAAATATGGAGCACGAGAGGTCAAGTTCTCCGTATCGGTCACTTCCACTTCATCCCGTATGTAATCCAGTCATTCTGTTAGCATCTGACTTGCACTTTGATTCACTTTATTTCCATTTGGTTTATTCTTGTGTCCACTCTGAACCACAGCTGAGAGTTGAAGATTAATATATTGTCTAAAAACAATATTATTTAGGTCTCCCATATTAGGGAAACAGGACCTAGTCACCTTAAAACATGGTTAACATCAGAGAAGCATACTTGATGCTGTCATTAGCAACAGGGTGATGGGAGATCAACCATGATCTCACTAAATGACAGAACAGGCTCAAGAGGCTGAAAGGCCTACTTTTGTTTCTACCACTTGTTAAGGTTAGGTCCTCTACATCTAGTCTTGGCTAATCTGAGAAAAGGGGACCTTGTACTCAGTTCCCCCACTCCCATTGGTGACCCCAGCAATTATTGCTCTTCTAGCCACTCATTCTCCTCATCTCTCTTTCAAAGATCATCCTACAACATCTGGTGCAGGCACTGTGGGCCAAATAGTCTCCTCCTGCACTGTAATAATAATGTGAACTCCTTAGCAAAGAAAGAAGAAAAACAATGCATTTAAATGATCGTGTCATGTCCTAAAAGAGTTTTACAGCAGAATATTTGTGCTTTGGATTGGTGCCTATGATTTAAGGTGAAGAACAAGTCTGTGGGGCTTGGTTATTATAGGGACAAAAGGAAGACACTAAAAAGACTTGCTGGGCATGTACAGGTTTTTCATGCTGTCGGCAATGGCAGGAGTATCTCTGCTGACAGTGGATTGAATGTTCATCACCACCTCTCAAAAGGAAGCATTAGGAATGTCAAGTTTTGTATACATTAAACTGTCTGTTTCAATTCTCTAGACTCTGGAACATGGGTCAATACCTACTCGTCAAAAAAAGGAAGGAGAGATAAAGCAAGGAATTGTTGACCATTTAGCCTGACATCCGTAATATAGGGGAAAGCTAGAATTTATCATTAGCAATGTGATTTGAGGGCACTTAGAAAATCATGATAATTAGTGGAGTCAGCATGGGTTTACAGAAATGCGATTCTATTTGACAATCTATGAGAGGTTCTTGAAGATATAGTTAGCAGGGAAAACAAAGGGAAACTGGTTGATGCAGCATATTTGGATTGTCAAAAGGCATTCAATAAGATGCCACACAAGTGGATGTAATGGAGGGCTAAGGCCTATGGTAATATATTAATATGGATTTAGGATTGATTAATGCATGGAAACAGTGTGTGGGAATAAATGGACTATTTACAAAATGGCAGGTACAACTAATAGGGTTCCACAAGGATCAGTGCATGAGTCTATTTTATGTTAAATCTATAATGATGACTTGGTGGAGATGACTGAGCATAATCTGTCTTAAGTTTGGTGACAATGTCGCAGAAGCTGAGAACCTCAGGAATTCACAACAAATTCAACATGCCAAATGATTTGGTTCTGATGAAGAGTCATCAGACTCAAAACGTTAGCTCTGCTTTCTTCCCATAGATACTGCCAGAGCTGCTGTGTTTCTGCAACAATTTGTGCCAAAACTCATTTGAAAACTAAAGTTAACCCAGTTAGACTAGGTTAACTGCAGCCTGATTGGATCTGATTTCACAAGACCAATCCACTTCCTGCAGGTCCCTGATTCCAAAGGATGCTATTTCAAAGAGGGCCCCTAGCCTTTCTTCTTTGTCCTCTATTTTTATCCTTTGACTGCATGGCAATTTGGGCTCCACCCCTTGGACCACTCTGCTCTGGATACAAATGTGGGGATAGAATTGGAAAATGTGGTTTAGGTAGCCATGACCTTATTGAGTATTGTAACCTCCTTGGGGTATTGTCAGGCCAATTTCTTCTGTATCTTAGGTTCTTTCATATCAAGATTGAATGGTTATTTCTTTTTCATTTCCAACGTTGGCTGGATTTTTTACTGCATTGTGAGGTAACCAGCAAAACATCATAATTCAATAATATCAATGCAGCGTTCCCTCAAAATAGTGTTCAACTCTCAACCTTGATATTGTGTCAACTCATGATTAGGATTCCTTATTGCAGCCCTGGTTCAGAAGCTAGAGAGTAACCAACAGATCCAAGATAGCACCTGGTCACTTAAATGGAAATTATGGACTTTGCTCCAGATGGCCACACATGAAAAGTCAATTTGAATGTTTTAAAAATGTACATAGGTTATTGAAGTGAATATCAGGGCAAGAATTAAATTCAGTAAATAACAGGATCTGTCTTATCCACTTCTGATCGATTTGGCTCATTCTGGTCTCTCCCCACAGATCAAGGAACAGCCCCCACAGTGTTGGTTCACCCCTCCCCCAGCTCAGTAAGGGAGGGGGATATGCTGGAGTTACATTGCCAGGTCACAGGTCAACCAGAGCCCAGGATCACATGGCACAGGTCGGCTGGCTCTTTAACATCCAATCACCAGGTAGGAGACAGCTTCCAGATTGGCCATTGTCCATTTGCTTTTCTTGTTTTCCTTTACCGTTCTTCAAATTTCTAACCATGAATGAAATGTCAGGGGGAATCTGCCGCTCTGTATCTTTCTGAATGCTGAAAGCAGCCTGGGGAAGAGTGAGTAACAGAGACTGTGATTTTCCTGTTAATGCTGTAGGTACAGGGCCGTGTGCTACGTATCCTCCGTATGAGGCCAGCTGATGTTGGCGATTATATTTGCCGCGCGGAAAACATCTACGGAACACAGGAGGTCAAATTCTCCGTTTTGGTGCTTCCTTCCACCTGTATGTAACCCAGCATTCTTCACATTATTTCAGTTCTGCTATCTTTTATCTATTAATGGATATTATACTACACATGGATAGAGGACTGGTTAGCAGACAGGAAACAAACAGCAGGAATATACAGGTTATTTTCTGAGTGGCAGTCAGTGGCTGGTGGGATACCACAGGGATCAGTGTTAAACTCCAGTATTCACAATATGTATTAACGATTTAAATGACAGAACTAAACGCAACATTTCCAGGTTTGCAGATGATACAAAGCTGGGTGGGAGGGTGAGCTGTGAGAGATGCTTCCCTGTGAATGGGATAGGTTGAGTGAATGGGCAAATGCATTCCAGAAGAAGAAGTATAATGTGGATGCATTTGAGGTTATCCACATTGGTAGCCAAAAAAGGAAGGTGGATTATTAACTGAATGGCGATAGATTGGGAAAGGGTAAGGTGCAACAAGAATTGGGTGTCCTTGTACCCCAGTCACTAAAAGTAAGCATGCAGGTCTAATAGGTGGTGAAGAAGGCAAATGGGATATTACCCTTCATAGTGAGATGATTTGAGTACAGGAGCACGGATGTCTTGCTGCAATTGTACTACACAGCCTTGGTGAGACCATACCTGGAGTACTGCATGCAGGTTTGGTCTCTTTATCCGAGGAACGATGTTCTGGTGATTGAGGGAGTGCAACAAAGGTTTGCTAACTTATTCCTGGGAGATAACCCTGACAAATTAAGAGACTTGTTCAGTTGGGATTATAGTCACTAGAATTTGGAAGAATGAGAGGTGATCTCATTGAAACATGTGAAACATTCATAGGATTAGAATCGGTAAATGCATGAAGGATGTTCCTGATGACCGGGGAGTCTAGAACCAGGGGTCACAGTCTAAGGACATTGAATAGACCATTTAGGATTGAGATGAGGAGAAATATCTTCACCCAGAGAGCGACAAGTTTGTGGAATTCTCTGCCACAGAAAGCAGTTAAGGCCAAAACACTGAATGTTTTCATGGAGTTAGATATTTTTCTTAGAGCTAAAGAGATCGAAGGGTATGAGGAGAAAGCGGGAACAAGGAACTGAGTTGGATGATCAGCCATGATCATATTGAATGGCTGAATAGCCTATTCCTGCTCCTATTTTCTATGTTTCTATGCTCTGCAACTGCAGTGACCTCCAGCACTGGGAATGTAGAGCAGCCTCATAACCAAGAGAGCTTTAGATGCTGCAATTATCATTGGAAGATAGCATCAACAATATGGGTTAGTTAACCAAATTTTAATCCGGAGAAAATGTTAATGAACATTGGAATAAAAGCAGAGAATGCTGGGGAAGCTTAACATCTATGGAGAGAGGAACAGAGTTAATGTTTCAAGACCAGTATGACTTCTTCACAACACAAAGGTGTTAAAAAATGATGTTTCTTTATACATTTGACAGAAGTGGAAGAGGAGTAAGACAAAGGGGATATTGATGATGGTGAAAGAGAAAAAGAGATGCAAAATGGGTGAATGGGTCCTCTCTAATAAGAACAAAGTAAACAAGACAAGACAATAGAATCACTACAATCGCAGATTTCCAAAATCTGCAGTTTTTTGTTTTAATGAGGTCAGCCAGCTAGACCTTGTAGAGTATGCACAAAAAATAGGAATTGCTGGAAAAGCTCAGCAGGTCTGGCAGCATCTGTGAAGAGAAATCAGAATTAATGTTTTGGGTCCGGTGACCCTTCCGTCAAACCAGTCACCAGACGAGAAACATTAACTCTGATTTTCTCTTCACAAATGCTGCCAGACCTACTGAGCCTTTCCAGCAATTTCTGTTTTTGTGCCTGCTGATTCTTTTCCTACTAAATATTACCAGCCACTTACAGCCTTTCTTGAATGAGCAAGTCACATTTGCCAGTCTTCCATTCTCTGTCACTTGCCCCCAGTGTCTAAGAAAGTTTGGATGATCACAAGTGCTTCTGTGATCACCACCCCCACTTCACGCACAAGCCATCTGGACCTGGCAACTAATCCACCCAAAGCATAGCCAGCCTTTCTAATAAATACTGCCTATCAATTTTCACCCTGTCCATTACCTCTACCATATCTGTATCTACTGATATTGAATCAGTATTCTTTTCCTTAATAAATCCCAACACAATGTACTTATTAAATATTCTACCCCTGATGTGCACCTCCAAATATTTATCACTTCCTTTGTCCTGCTTCTTGCTTTGCTTGCTATTTACACGCTGGTAGAAGATTTTTCCGTTTTCCTTGCTGTTCTGATCTCCCCCGATAATAGGTCCTCCATGCATTGTCGCAGTGTCAGTGTGCACCTCCAGTGAAAAATACCCTGGTAGGGAAGGTTTTTAGAAATCAGCAATAAGGACAAAGAAAGTAACCAAAAAATGCAAAGAGGAGTTCAATATCTGAAAATTTACTTTGCATGGTGTCCGTGATTTGGAACCATCACAGTCATCAATGAGCAATGTATCGTTACTCAATAATGCCAATGCAGGCTCCACCAGTACAGCACTGAAATGGTAACTTTGCCCAAACCATTGCCCCAGATGGCTACACATGAAGAGTTCATTGACATATTTTAAAAATGTACACAAGTTATTGAAGTGAATACCAAGGCAAGAAATAAATCTAGGATAAATAACAGGATCAGTCTTGTCCACTTCTGATCGATTTGGCTCATTCTGGTCTCTCCCTACAGCGCAAGGAACAGCCCCAACAGTGATGGTTCATCCCTCTCCCAGCTCAGTAAGGGAGGGGGATATGCTGGAGTTACATTGCCAGGTCACAGGTCAACCGGAGCCCAGGATCACATGGCACAGGTCGGCTGGCTCTCTAACATCCAACCACCAGGTAGGAGACAGCTTCCAGATTGGCCATTGTCCATTTGCTTTTCATGTTTTCCTTTACCGTTCTTCAAATTTCTAACCATGGATGAAATGTCAGGGGGAATCTGCCGCTCTGTATCTTTCTGAATGCTGAAAGCAGCCTGAGGGAGAGTGAGTAACAGAGACTGTGATTTTCCTGTTAATGCTGTAGGTACAGGGCCGTGTGCTACGTATCCTCCGTATGAGGCCAGCTGATGTTGGTGATTACATCTGCCGCGCGGAAAACATCTACGGAACACAGGAGGTCAAATTCTCCGTTTTGGTGCTTCCTTCCACCTGTATGTAACCCAGCATTCTTCACATTATTTGATTTGCACCATCTTTTATCCATTTAATATCTATCTGCTTCACCTTTCAGCCTAGATTTTGACTGTAGTTGAGTGGCAAGTATTCTATGAGAAGTGCTGTGTAAATGCAGTGAACGAGCAGCTTTATAACCAGTAGAGTTCTGGATGCCAAGATTATTATAGATAGATAGTGTTAACGCTGAGTCAGTAGCCTTTCGTTAATCAGGAGAAAATGTTAATGAGCATTGTACATTTTGCATGTCCAATACTACTCTCAGAAAAGGTTAATGAGCATAATCATCAGGTTTCTCCCTCTCTAATTGCTCCTGATGTTTCAAGTAGGTAACAGAAATTGTTAAGGAGAGCTGTCCAAAGAATATTGCTCATCTGGGATTCCAGAAGATAGTTAATAAGATTCCAATGTGTGAGCATTGGGAGAATTTAATTGGGGCTTAGCCAGATAGGTTGAGAACAAACTTACAGTAGATGCTACTGAATGGACAAAGCTCCGTCTGGGACAGCATAAAGTCAAGTGAGGAGGTGGTGCTGTTTTGGCTTTCCCTCAAGGCATTGAATACCCAATGAGCTTAATTGATATTCCAGGGCGTGCTACAGTGGGCACAAATGACAAATGAGGATCAGTAATTCAGAATGTAACATATCGTTTTGGCCAAATGTTAACATTAGCAGTTTACAATGAATGGGATTGTGTTGATGGAGCGGGATACACAATACCCAGAGCATTTGAAAAATAGCTGGCAAGGTTGCAGTGCTACTGAGAGAACAAAATGGAAAATCACAGTGCCCTTCCCTTGGCCCACTGTTGACCATGATTTCAGTAATTCAGTCCTCACACTGTGGAATTCCTAAACTCCTCCTTCTCAAAACTCCTCATAATCTTGCACACTTCTGTTTAATCTCTCCTGAATTCCTGTGCTTCAAGGAGAACAATCTCACCTCCTCCAACCTCACTTTGCAGCTAAAGGTCCCTCCCATTCCTAATAAATCTCCTCAGCATCATCTCAAAACCCTTAGATCCTTCCAGAACTGGACACAACAGTCTAGTTGTTGTCTAAACAGTGTTTTATGAAGGTGCATTATAACATCTCTGCTGCCTTTCTACTCAATACCTCTATTTATGAAGCTCATATGCTTTACTAACTTCTCTTAATGTGTCATCATTATTCAATAATCACCTTGCAGTGCTCCCCCAGCGCAGCACTGAAATATCTCCTTAATTTATGTGCTTAACTGTACTGCAATTCCTAATCTTGGCACTGTTTCTGAGGCTAGGCAGGTACTGCTGAGCCAGGCTAAAATTAATTCACTTTACACAAAGGATTCTGCTCAGTACATTTTGCTAGATGATCACAGGTAAAAATTCAATTGAAATATTTAAGCCTTTCCAGAAACTATCGAAGAGAATCCTAACAAGGGTGGGATTCGATACTTAACAGCATCTGTAATGACCACTTCTGATCTGTTTGCCTCACTCTTGTCTCCACTCTCCCCACAGCAAGAAATGCCCCCACCGTGTTGGTTCAGCCAACCCCCACCACAGTGAGGGAAGGAGAAATGCTGCAGTTGCACTGTCAGGTTGCAGGTCAACCACAGCCCAGGGTCACATGGTACAGGGCAGCCGGCTCTCTAACAACCAATCACCAGGTAGGTGACACAGGTGGAGCAGCCCTTGAATTTCCTTTTAATGAGGAATTATTTTACCTGGACATAAGTGTGTGTGAGTTATTCAAGTCCACACTAAGGTCGCGGGCGTGTTAGATTAAAGTTGCTCTGAGAGCGTCAACTCAGTTGCCTGTGCACGGATCTGTAGCTGGGACCTCTCCATTCACAGTGACTCCTGACCTACCTGTCACTTCCCTCTCTCTGTTAAGCCTCAGTGAACATCTTATCCCAGTCCCGCATTTAATGACCTGTATCATTAGCTCAATCTAATTTCAAGTGGTGGAGGTCAGCTGGCAGAAAGTATTTCTGGCTGAATTTGCTGCCAGAAACACAACACACACGAAAACCAAGTAGCCATTGTCAGATGTGCATTTGCTTTCAGTTTTTCTTCAATGTTCTCATCAAATTTCTAACCTTGGTATCAAGTGCCTGTGGTGAATGGAACAAAATTAACTGGGGGGGCGGGGAGGGTGCTGAGTCCTTGCTTGTTGCAAAATCTGACAAGTATCAGATTTAATTTCAACCAGAACAATAAATTTGACATTAATATTATAGATATTTTTTATACTTACATGGGATGTGGGCATTAGTAGCAAGGCCAGCATTTGTCCCCACCCTTTAACTGCCCTTGAAATGAGTCTTACTTAGAAACCTCAGAATAAACTACACTGCTGTGCCTCTGGAGTCATATGTAGGCCAGATCGGATAAGGATGGCAGATTTCATATAAACCCTACAACGTAAAAACAGGCCATTTGGCCCATTGTGTCCACACTGACACTCCAAAGAACATCCAACCCAGACCCAACCCCCTATTCTATCCCTGTAACCCTGCATTTCCCATGGCTAACCCACCTAGCCTGCGCATCCCTTTAGTTTGAACCTCCACCATAAGGGAAATACTGGTGGAGGACTGCACAGTCAGATTTGCTGTTTTTAAGTGAGATGTTAAAATGAGGTCTCATCTACCTGCTCAGGGGATGTAAACTATCCCACAGGTCTATTTCCCCTTTAAGGAGCTGTCAGTTTGTTAATCTGTTTCTTGTTTACTCGAGAGTATAAAAAGGGACAACTGGGACAATGGATTAAGATCAAGATAAGAAGCATATACAAAGCTGATATAAAGATCAGAAAGTTGTGGAGAAATGCAGCAGTCCTGATAGCATCTGTGGAGAATGAAGCAGGCTTAATGTTTCAAGTGCAGCATAACTCTTCAAGATAGACTCAAAATGCCAATGAGTGCTGCCAGACCTTCTGAGTTTTTCCAGCTTTTTCTGTTTCCAACATATCCACCATTCATAGTCCTTTGCTTTTGCTCATATCAAAACTGAAATCTGAAAATTAGGGGAGGCAGTGGCCTAGTGGTATTAGGGACCCAGGGTTCAAATCCTGCTATGGCAGATGGTGGAATTTGAATTTAATAAAAAGTCAGGAATTAGGACTCTAATGATGACCGTGAAACCATTGTTGATTGTTGGGAAAAACCCATCTGGTTCACTAATGTCCTTTAGGGAGGGAAACTGCCATCCTTACCTGCTCTAGCATACGTGTGACTCCAGACGCACAACAATATGGTTGACTCTTAACAATTAGGAATGGGCAACAAATGCTTGCCCAGCCAATGATGCCCTCATCCCATGAACGAATAAAGCAAAAGTGTTGAAGAAGGATTCCTATCCATTTTGCTACTTCACCATTTGGCATGGGATCTAACCTCTGTCTGACCCTAGGTACACATCTCTATTTAGTTTCAGTGGCTCTAAGGAATGGCAACATAAGCTGGAAAATCTTTCAGGTCTCAATGTTCATTCTTCAGGCAAAACCTTTGAGGTTATGAGTGAATCTGTGAATGCTGAAAGCAGCCTTGAGGAGAGTGAGTAAAAGAAACTGTGATTTTCCTCTTGATGCAATAGGTACAGGGCCATGTGCTACGCATCCTTCGTGTGAGTCCTGCTGACACTGGGGATTACATCTGCCGCGCTGAAAACGTCTATGGAATGCGAGAGGTCAAATTCTCTGTCTCAATCACTCCTTCCACCTGTATGTAACATACATTCAAGTATTTGACCTTTTAACCATCTTTTATTTTCTTTATGTCTGTTTGCTTTATTGCTCTGGGCCAATGGTTTCTTGTATTAGACTGCAGCATTTCAAAACATCAGCTCGCCACCACCTTCTCAAAGGCGACTGGGGATTGGCAACAAATGCAAACAAGTCAAGGACGCCCACATCTCATATAAAAAAACAAAAACGCCTCTGTAACTTCAGTGGCCTCAATGCTAGAGAACAAGCCTTCTAACATCATATTAGACATTGTGTTATCTAGCACTACACCAACGACCATTTTCTAGCAATCAGAATTTCTCAGAGCGTAATTATTTTTTTAAAAAAGGAGTCACTTTGTGAGTTCAAAAATGTATCCTTTAAAAATAGTCTGTAATAATAACAGATTCTAAATCTGCCAAAATATGTTCTTAAGAGTTTTTACTTTGAAATTATTAAATTTATTAGGTCAGTTTTGGTCATAGTGCCTGCAGAAAGATTCAGTGCTCCGAGCAACTGAATTTCCCCAACAGTTCAATATTTGTTTAAAGTCAGTCTGAAGGTCATGGTGCCAATCTTTAGTCATAGGGAGCTGCAGCATTAGATCACTGATAGATACTACCCTGACATCCCCTTCCCTCAGACAGACCCTGGCAGCAGATCTTGCGTGACCAGTAAGCAAAACACAAGAGAGGGCTCACACTCTGACCAGTGATTGCTGTTGGTCCAAGAGTCTGATACTGATGTACCAGAGAAGGCTGAACTTATGGTCAACACGGTGTGGAGCTGGAGGAACACAGCAGGTCGGGCAGCATCAGAGGAGCAAGGGAGTGGACTCGACACTTCATCAGTCCTGGGCCCAAAACTTCCTGTTCCTCTGACACTGCCTGACCTGCTGTGTTCCTCCAGCTCCACACAGTATCGATTCTGACTCCAGCATCTGCAGTCCTTGCTATCGCCAAGGCTGACTTGTAGGCCTGTTTTTACCAGACTGCACAATCCCAAAACAGGCACTGTTGCTTTGTAACTTTTTAATTGTGGTACTAGTCCAGTATATGAAGTGAAGGCTTTTGATGCAGTGTCATCCATGGTTTATTGGTCAGTTTGTTCAGCATGGTGGAAGGCTTCTGTTTGTTACTCCCCTGGACCCTATTATTTTTGATACTTCCATACCTCATACAGGCCAATAAAAAGCAAGGAAAGTTTTGGCCAGTGGATCAGGTAATAAAGAATGAAGATTTTCCCAGGTGAAGTAGCATACTGAATAGTACAAGGACCTTGCAATCACTGCATCATGTCACTAACAAAAAAAAATTTAACTGTATTGCCGCGTTGCTCTCAGGGGCTCGAATACTCAGCTGCCTCCCCCCCTTGCCGCAGCCCCCATTAACAGTGATTTTTGATTAACCGACAGCACCCATTCCCTGAATGGGGAATGCTGGAAAACAGAATTTATTGTAGAATCTAAGATAATTAATGGAGGATGTGGTCATAACTATATATCAGTTAACCTAATGTTAAAAGGTGGCAAAGATTTCATCAGTTCTCTATTTCGAGTTTTACACTAAAGAATCGATTGCATAAATATAATCACCTTGAATGAAAGAAAAAAATCAACTGCTTCTACTCCATAAACTCCCCTTTATTTTTGAGAAGTGAATATTGTAGCAACAAGAGCAGGTCAGAGGCTTGGAATTCTGTGGTGAGTAGTTCACCTGGTCCGACCTACATATGACTACAGGACTACAGCAACGTGGTTGACTCTTAACTGTCCTCTGGACAATTAAGGATGGGCAATAAATGCTGGCCTAGCCAGTGATGCCCACATCCTGTGAATGAACAAAAAAAATGACTGAATGTAAAGACTGTTTGGATGAATGTGGTCTGTTGATGTGGTATCTGGATGGAGGTTTAAATTCTGCCATTAAAGGATTAACGTATAAGGGGGCAATCTGTGCATGAAGCTGGAGGACATTGGTAGGGTGTGAAACAAGTGCTTCACATCTATCCTCACTTTGGAAAAGGAACAGGAAGGTACAGAATTTGAGAAGAGGGACTGTGAGGTTCTTGAGCAGTTTGACAGAGGGAGTGAGGAAGTATTGGAGGTTTTGCCAGCTTTAAAAAGTGGACAGATCCCCAGGTCCAGATGAGCTACAGGGAAAGGCTGAAAAGGCTGGAGCTTTTTTCACTGGAGCATCAGAATCTGAGGGGTGGCCTTATAGAGGTTTGAAAAATCTTGAGAGGCATGGACAGGGTGAATAGCCAAAGTCTTTTTCTCAGGGTAGGGGAATCCAAAACTGGAGGGCATAGGTTTAAGGTGGGAGGGGAAAGATGTAAAAGAAATCTGAGGGACAACTTTTTCATGCAGAGGGTTGCGTGTGTATGGAACGAGCTACCAGAAGAGGTGGTGGAAGAAGGTACAATTACAACATTTAAAAGGCATCGGGATGGGTATATGAATAGGAAGGGTTTAGAGGGATATGGGCAAAATGCTGGCAAATGGGGCTAGATAAGTTTAGGATATCTGGTCAGCATGAGTTGGACCAACAGGTCTGTTTCTGTGCTGTACAACCCTATGACTCTTGATTACCCAAAGTCCACCATCATCAATGCTCAAGGCGCAAGTCAGGAGTGTGATGGAATACTCCCCAGTCACCTGGATGAGTGCAGTTCCAACAACACTCAAGAGGCTTGACACCATCCAGAACAAAGTAGCCCACTTGGCACCACATCCTCCACCTTCCATATCTGTCCCTTTGAACACAGAAACAAAGTGGAAGCAAGGTGCATTTGACAAGCACCTTCCAACCGCCAACCTCTGCTACCATAGAAACACCACCACCTGCAAGTTTCCCTCCAAGCCACTCAGCATTCTGACTTGGAAATATATCACCATTCCTTAGTGACTCTGGGTCAGAATCCTGGAACTCCCTCCCTAATGGCATTGTGGGTGTCCTTGTATCCCGTGCACTTCAGCGGTTCACTTCACCATAAGCACAAATTGGGGTTGGGTAACAAATGATGGCTCAGCCAGTGACGTCACATCCCCTTTACAACTGAAAGTAAATCAAGCTGTTGTGTTCTATTAAAGGGATCCAAGGGATAATCCTTCCCTGACATTCCATGAAGTGTATGGTATGAATTCCCAAGTGCAGTTTTAAAGACTGGGAGACGAAATGTTAGCAGCGCCCAGGTCATTTACAGGACTCAGTAAATGGGAGGAGGGTGGGAAGGGGCCAGTACAATGAAGCATCTCATTATAACTAGAAGATAGGCAAGAAGAGCAGGGGAGAGAACAATTGCCCAAGCTGGGGGCCAGGAGATACCTTTGCGTTTTTTACAAGTACAATTTTCAATCCAGTTGCTTGCTTAAAACTCTGTCCTGGTCTTCACCCTCCTAACAGCACAAGGCACTGCCCCGACAGTGAGGATTAACCCCTCTTCCACCTCTGTCAGCGAGGGAGAAATGTTGGAGTTACACTGCCAGGTCACAGGTCAGCCTGAACCCAGGGTCACATGGCACAGGGCAACGGGGTCACTGACAGCCAATCACCAGGTAGGTGAAAGTGATGGTGCAGCTTTGCATTTTCCTCTTGTGCTAAACACATTTGATGTGGAAGTTATTAAGTTGTGTGAGCAAAGATTTAAGTTGTCATTGCGTAGAAAATAATAAATAAGGTCATCTGTCAGCCACCCTGAGTACAAACGATGCCAAGCGGTTATTCATTTTCTCATAGTGGTTTTTGGTTTTTGGGGGAGTTCCTCTTCCAGAACAAGATGTTTTCAGCAGACCCCTGGTTGGTCTCATCCTGAAGTGGGAACCTCAATGTTGGAAGGTTATTCAGAAGCACCAGAAAATCTCCTGGGTAACTGTCAGGATACCATTTATCTGCATCTGAGAAAAAGGCATTGAGATGATCAACCACAGTCTAGAATGGCCAGGGCAAGCTTGATGGGCTGATCGGCCTCCTTATGTCTATAAGATCCTCTATTCCAAAAAGAGAGAACTTGGCTTCTTTGGTCAAGGATGAATAGTGAAATAGGTGCAGAGTTCACTCTAATTTCTTGCAAGGATGTTTGCCTCGACCTCCGGGGACTGAGCTATAATGGTGATCAACAGCCTGAAACCTGGTTGCTCTCTTTCATGAGCAGTGCTGACCTTTGGGATGGTCCCCTTCAACGGCTCTGAGGGATATCCTCATTGCAAGCAACTTATGCGACACTACTTTGAGTTCTGTATACAACTCATCCAGGAGTTGCTTACCATGCTAATAAGATGGCAGTGGTCGGCTGGTCAAGACTCTACCCATGGTTCTCGAGCCCGTTGTTTAATTTTAAACTTTTTTTTCCCTAATTTTGCACCAAATTGCCAAATTAAGAGCCCTCTTTATGTTCTTTAATAGATTCTGAAGTTAGTTCAATTCCTGGCAAATCCATTGCCTCATTCCCCTTTAATTGTCTTCCTTCCCTCAAATGATACATCCCTGTAACTTGCTCACTTACTGCTGGGGTCAATCCTGGGCCCATTTGAGTTTGCACCTGGAGTTATGAATAAAAGACAATAACAACAAAAAATTGTGTTTTTTCAAAATTGAAACAAGACAAGGGTTGACCTTATTAATGTTTATAAAATCATGAGGAGCATAGACAATGTGCATTGCCAAGGTCTTTTTCCCAGGGAAGGGGAGTCCAGAACTAGAGGTCAAAGGCTTAAGGTAAGGGGGAAAGATTTAAAAGCGACCTGAGGGGCATCTTTTTCACGCAAGGGGTGGTGCATAGGATAAGCTGCCAGAGGATATGGTAGAGGCAAATACAATTGCAACATTTAAAAGACATTCGGACAGGTACGTGGATAGGAAAGGTTTAGAAGGATATAGGCCGAATGCAGGCAACTGGGACTAATTCAGTTTAGGAAACCTGGCTGGAATGGATGAGTTGGGCCAAAGGAACTTTATACCTCTAACATCGTGGTGCTCAAACTCTTGAAGTTCAGGTGTGCATTAAACGAGAGCTTCAACTATTATACCTGAAGCTAATGTTGACCTTGACACTCCTGGATGACAGCTGTGTCTTGTAGTTATAAGTAGACTTATGAACAGCCAGTCTTCTGTTAGAGTAAAGGGTGTTGTAATTTTCCTCTTGATGCTGCAGGTGCATGGCCGTGTCCTACGTATCCTTCATGTGAGTCCCGCTGATACCGGCGATTACATCTGCCGCGCGGAAAACATTGCGGGAACACGGGAGTTCAAATTCTCCGTCTCATTATCTTCAACTGCATTCAGTACGTAACTCTGTCATTCCCGTTCTGTGTGTTTCATTATTTCCAGCCTCTCACTTTCACTTTGAGACTGTGCAGTTTATGAAAATTTTAACTGTCAAGTCCTATAGCAGGGAAGAATGAAGGCAAACGTGGGAATACATGGCTACAAATCAGCGCCAATTTCATTTAGGCCTGTCTGATTTTGCAAAGGGGCTCAAAAGGCAGCACATTATCAACATGCATATGCAAAGGCACTAATGCCTTTTTCAGGCACAAACCCGAGACAATGTTTCCTCATGTTTCTTTGGAGTGTATGGGAGATGTATTTAAGGTTGCAAACTCTAAGTCTCTTTGCACATTAGAAGTAACTTAAAACCGCCACGTAAAGCACAGTTGTGTGGGGGCTGGAAGTCCAGTTTATGCACATCCACACAGTTCATAAGGAGCACACACTCCAAGCATCTCTTTCTCTACCAATATGGCAGGCGGTGCATTTCCTGTATGTAGTGAATGTGTACACACTTGTAGCTGTATTTGATTCTTAGGCACCTGCTTTACACTTAAAGAATTAGCACATCAGCAAATGTTCCGCGGGGTTCGATGCTGGGTCCATTGTTGTTTGTCATTCATATAAACAAATTTAGGAAGCACGGTTAGTAAGTTTGCGGATAACACCAGAATTGGTGGTGTAGTGGACAGTAGGAAATGTTATGTAAGACTACAAAGAGATCTTGATCAAAGGGCCAAAGCGGGGCAGATTGCGTTTAATTCGGATAAATACGAGGTGTTGCACTTTGGTAACTTCAACGAGGCAGGACTTATATAGTTAATGGTAGGACCCTGGGGAGTGTTGTCAAACAGAGACGGAGGGGTTCAGGTATATATTTCTTTGAAAGTTGCATCACTGATACAGAAGGTGGTAAAGAAGGTGTTTGGCATGCTTGTCTTCGTTGCTGAAACCTTGAAATAAAGGAGTTGGGTTGTCATGTCGATGTTGTGCAGGACATTGGTTTGGCCACCTTTGGAGGACTGTGTACGGTTTTGGTTGCCCTGCTATAAGAAGGACATTATTAAATTGGAGAGGGTACAACAGGGGTTTACAAGGATGTTACTGGGCCTGAAAGGTTTAAGTTCTAAGGAGAGGCTGTGACTTTTTTGACTGGAGCATAGGAAATTGAGGGGTGAACTTACAAAATCATGAGTGGTGTAGATAATGCAAATATCAAAGGTCTTTTACCTAGAGCAGGGGAATTCAAAACTAGAGGGCATATTTTTTAAGGTGAGAGAAGAAAGATTTAAAAGTAACCTGAAGGGCAACTTTCTCAGAGAGAGGGTGATTCATGTGTGGAATGAACTGCCAGAGGAAGTGGTAGATGCAGGTACAGGTACATGAATAGAAACGGTTTAGAGGAATATGGGCCAAATGCAGGCAAGTGGGACAAGTTTAGTTTGGGAAACTTGGTCAGCCATGGACGAGTTGGACCAAGGGCTCTGTTTCCATGCTGTATGACTCCAGTAGTTATCTTCAAAAGACAGAAATAGAAGAATAATGTGTGCAATTCCGAAACATTTAGTCTATCTAACTGTGCAATATGAAGATACTGCTGAAAGATATAGAGAAATAAAGACAGAGGTATGTTCATTTAGTAATTTATTTCACCTCCCCAAATGTCAGGAGGCTCTTGGAATTGCAGTGAAATAGCGATTCTGTGGTAATATCCCTACCTCTGGGCCAGAAGGACCAGATTTAAGTTCCACCTGACTGAACAGTTTGATTTACCAATACTTGTAGGTTGCACAGTAACTAGCTCCTCATAAGCAAGACTAGGCCACTTGGTCATTCAACACAATCACTCATAGTCTTGCTCAAATCCACCTTCTTGCACTAACACCCTATCCCTCGATACTTTTGTCTGAAAGTCTGGTGTTCTCCATCTCGTATACTCGATAACTGAGCATCCCTGGGCATCTAGGATAGCGGGTTGCAAAGATTCGTGGCTATTTCAGTGATGAAACATCATTCTCATCTCAGTCCTGAATGGCCACCTCCTTATTTGATGATCCCTAGTTCTGGTAGTCAACTCCACAGTCAATGAAGGTATTATCCCAATACTTACCCTGCTAACCCTTATATAGGATTACCCTTTATAGGGTCATCCCAACCATCCTAGGAACCAGTCTTTATTGCATTCAAAACAAGTCAACTATATCCTTGCTTTCCACTACTTCTCATTCTCTGAATCTATGTTTATTATCTTTGCATCCTCCTCACAACCCTAGGCACTGAGAACCTCGTCTAAGTTATTGGTATAGATCATAAATTATTGAGACCCACTTACTGATCCTCGTCCATGAATTCCAGCCTTCCATTTATTTCTACTGTTTGTTTATAATCCATCGAAAAGGCCTGAATCCATGCTGATATATTACCTCTGACTCCTGAGTCCTTTTTTTACGATGACCTCTTAAATGAAGCCTTACAGAATTTGATGAATCATAAAGTGGAAAGAGGTTTTTGTTGACTGATGTTGACCATGGATACAGCAAATTGGGTATATTAAGGTAAATTCAATGATGCTGTGTTCCTGGTCCTTGCATTGTGGGTTGCAGAGTTGCTTTGAGAATAACTTGTTACCCCAGGCTCTTGATGAACAAGGACTTGGCGGCATGGTGGCTCAGTGGTTAGCACTGCTGCCTCACAGCGCCAGGGACCCAGGTTCGATTTCATCCACGGGTGACTGTCTGTGTGGAGTTTGCTCTCTCTCCCCATGTCTGTGTGGGTTTCCTCCCACAGTCCAAAGATGTGCAGGTTAGGTGGATTGACCATGCTAAATTGCCCTATAGTGTCTAGGGTGGGAAATACAGGGATGTGGTATGGGCTGGGTCTGGCTGGGATGCTCTTCAGAGAGTCGCTGTGGACCCGATAGGCCGAATTGCCTGCTTCCACACTGTGGGGGTTCTATTCTATGAAATGAAACTAGCCTGAATTTTCCCTGTCCCAAAATGACCCTTTCAAAAGCAGGCGCTTATCAGAGGCAGTGAGAAATCTCAAGGGGAGAAGATCCGAAGCCAACAATGCATCAAAAACTCAGTCGTCTGCAACATCCCATGCTATTTACAACTGAACCATCCAGCTGCAGATCAGCCGGAACTGTCCCCTACATCCCCACTGGAATCCTACCAAACACATCAGATAATGAAGATGGTCATCTTCACCTCAAAGAATGAACACAGACACTTGTGCATGTTTTAGGATTTTAACCCTTCAATTAGGTGTTCACATATCTGAGAGAGTTCCAAGATCACTTAATCAAAACCAGTTGAAAGCTGACTGCTGTGATTCAGTCTGCAGCCCATGATTTTACATGAGCTGTTGTTGAACAGTGTCAGCGCAAGGAAGTACAAATGTGAGAGTCAGCCAGAGACGGTATCTGTTGTGCCCAGATGTGGTTTCATCTTATTAAAGTATTTCTGATCTCCGTCCTCTCCACAGCACATGAAGGCGCACCAATCGTGCGAGTTCAACCCCGCCCTATCTCCGTAATGGAGGGACAAATGGTGGAGTTACACTGCCAAGTCACAGCTCAGCCTGAGCCCATGATCACATGGTACAAGGCAGATGGTTATCTAACAGACAATCACCAGGTATGTAATTGTGGTGGTAGAACACTGCATTTTCTGGGTTATTTTACACAGCTATCGTGTAATGGAACCTTGAATTGGAACAGGCTGTCAGATTTTTTTGTTTTAAAACTTCTGTGTTTAACTTTTAACTTTGTTCTTTCTTTCCAAGTTGTACTTAAGATTTTGTACCTAGGTATTTGTACCGAAGATGATACTATGTATGGTGACATTGTACACTTTTCTCTGTACTTGAGTACATGTGACAATAAAATCAAAATCAATAATTAATCCAGCTGTAATCTGACATGGTAAATGTATCTGCCTTCAGTTTTCACAGAGTCCACCTCTCTGCCTTATTTTCCCACCTGTGACCAGTTGTCTGTTTCCTTGCTGTCCATGATCTGTGGCATCTGGTCTTGAATCAATTCTAAGGAAGTTCCAGAACAAGGGTCAGGTCGTGAAAAGCAAAAACAGAAGTTGCTGGAAAAGCCTAGCAGGTTTGGCTTAAATCTGATTTTTTTTATTCACAGATGCTGCCAGACCTGCTAGGCTTTCCCAGCAACTTCTGTTTTTGTTCCTGATTTACAGCCTCCACAGTTCTTTCGGTTTTTATCAGGTCATGAGAAGAGTGTTTGAATGATAGGACACAAACTCTTCAAGGAGCTAGGGCAAATTGGCCCTTACCCAAACTCTTGTGTTTGGAATGGTTGCCTCTTACCCGGGTTCAGCTACAATCTGGGAATAAGGGAGACCAAAGCCAGGAAGTGATTAAAAGTTTCTGCAATCTTATGTATTTGTGTATTTTGTAGTATTACTAAATGTCTGCAGGTAGGCTATTGTTGTACCTGAGGAACTAAATGCTGAGCTAGGTAAAAAAATATTAGGAAGAGTGACTAAAATCTGGTGAAAATAATAGGAATTGTGAAATATTTTATAGATGAAGCTATCTCAAGAGAGTTCCGCAATAGGACAGATATGGCTGATGGTTCCATTCATTAATGATGAAGTGTAGAGAGAGAAAGTGGATGAAGAACAGAGTTCAAGGAGTGTTTCAGTGGGGTTGTTAGGCTGTTAAGGTTGGAGATTAGGACTAATGGTAAATCTGAGAGCTTTTAAGATAAGAACAAGTGTTTTCAGTCAACTGTATTGGGCCATAAGAATAAGAGTCGGCTAACAAACCTGGAAGGGGGTAGGGTCAAAGAGGGAGACCATGTTTTTGAGCAGTTCAGGAGTTTAGAGAGAAATTGCGAAGGGAACATTACACCAAAGACCCTTACAAGGATTACAGTTGTAAGACTTTTGGAGTCTACAGCTGTCTGATCTTTTACTTGTGATTTCGTGGAAATGACACAGGACCCACACGTTTTAGATTTTATTGTATCTTGACGATTGGTTAGAAACTACCAGTACCATATCGTCTAAAGTTAGTTATATTGTAAGTGTACTGAGAGCTGCTGATACAATAATGATACAAGTGATAATCACATATATAAAAAACCAACATCAGATGATCCAGCATTGCTGATTCAGGTCCTGCTAGCAAGGTGATTCCCCAAAGCTGCTACCTTTTAGCTGGAATAATGAGAATACTTTGACATACATTTTTATATGTTATTTCGATAGCATACAAGACATTACACTGACACAAACTCATTGTCAAATAAAAGTCTTTCATAAATAAATTAACCAAAAGCCGCAGTCTTTGTCTGAACCATGGAATAGAAGCTCACCTTTAATATGATCTATCCTGCATGAGCTTCTAGAACTTTCATATTTATTCCGTCTTTGTTCAACCAAGCTTTATTTCCCCTTTCTCATTCATGGCAGTTTTTCTTAATTCTCACCCTTAAGTGCATCAACCTTCAGAACTTCCTCCTTAAAAGCCACCTACACTTGGAGTTACTTATGATAGTTCCCAGCTCCACACATCTGTGCAGCAATGACCCTTGCATTCCTACTGCATAATTATTTAGCACAACGTTGAAGTCTAATTTATGTATTTAATTGTCTTTTATGACAATGGATATGGCTTGAAAGGCATGCTGGCATAGAATTTGGTCAAGGTTTGAAGTGGATGCATGTATAGGTAATGCCATGACTGGGATGGAGTGTTACTGTCTGTAAGTGTGAAAGGTGAGAGAGTTGTACCTGTCTGAATGCGGCAGAGCAACATTGTCTAAATTTCATTCCAAGCAAACAACTAGTAACTTGCCTGTAACAATTTCTTGCATTTAGGTGTGGACTGGACTTCAGCTGACTGTTAAGTAACCTCTTCAGTTACAAATTTAAAATCATATTGCACCTGTATGGAAGGCAGGCTTTCTAATAGTCACCAGGAGTACCAATTTGTAAGAAATTTGCTGGTTATAATTGTTGCTTTGTTTCTCAAATCTTACAACTAGTTCAATATTTAATGTTATGTTGATGTGATGTCATGGATGCAGCTAGAGATGAATTGTGAACTTTTGCCTTGGGAACAGACCCTTCTCTTCAAATTTAGCTGTGTTACACCAAATCTGTACTCTGAAATGATGGAAGCAGGGATCATCAGATAACTGAAAGATTTGGAGAGAATGTGGAATTCAGAGATCAGCTCTGGATCTCAAACTGGCAAAGGCCCAACTACAAGAAGGACTAATTTGCAAGGGAAAGTTAAAACAGCAAGTGACCATATTATTTTCAATGTAACTAATTTTTTTGTTTATTCACTCCTGGGATGTGGGCATTACCGGCCGTAAAGTTGCCCTTGAGAAAGTGATGGTGAGCTGTACTACATGTATTTAAACATTTTTGTTTTATTTCCTAGCCTATATGTATATTTTTGAACATAGGAAATACAGTGATTGTTCAGAGTACCCTCAAAATAAATAAGCCACTTGGAATGTGATTTTTTTTAAATAAAGAAACTTCCTTTGTATATGTTTAAAATATTGCTTAGCAACAGACTCCCATTTGCTGGGCTCTGCAACCATACAGCGAAAGGAACAATCACAAATAACCATACACTAACGAATAAAGTCTAACTGTATTCACCTTGGTGTAAACGTTGGTATTGATATAACAGAAATGTCGTATGTGGACTGTCACATCAGCTGTATGGTAATCTAAAAATGGATGTCAGTCTTCTAATATGCTAATGACAGTCAGTCCAAGAAGAGAACTGGATTTATTATACTGCTACTTTAGTTTGCTGTGGTTGATTGGACACAGGAATGTGGCAGCATTCCCTTCAAAACAGTTTGATTGTCTTCACTTTCTCTTCTCTTTGGGTCTGTGATTCCACCTGGAATATGGCTTTATCTCAGCCCTGGGGTTCCACCCTTTCTGGTGTTCAACAGTGAGTGGGAACCTCATAACAACCAGAGCAGAGAGCCCTTCCTATTTACCACCTACCAATACTTGTAGCCTTGACCAAGTTAGTTCATCAAATACAGGCTACCGATCAAATTTTGGGACTGTTGTGTGATCTGTTTGGCTTAGACTCAATTTAAGTAAGCGATTATATTATGTAACTATTATAAACATTAAAATGTTTGTTTCCTTGCTTTAAAGAAAAGGAGAAAAATGTTTCTTGGTTTAAACATCTGTTTCTGACTCATTTTAATACACATGGCCGAGGGGCTGGAGTTGACGTTTTCTGTCAAGCTTGCTTTAAACTGATGAGGATGTTCCCATTACCAGCTTCCATATATTATCTTGAGGGTTACCAGGATTGGGAATAAAACTGGTGTCTGCTTCCACTTAAGCAGCCAACAGGAAGAAATCTCAAATGTTCCTTTTCAGAAGACGTAACACAGGCCAGTTCCTGGTGCAGTTTGCAGCCCCTGGGAGCTGAGCAATAGCCTAACCTGTATCCAGACAAACAGATCTCGCACTGAGGGCTACCAGCCAGGATGTTGGGTACCAGTTGGTGCTAATGAGCTGCTGAGTCTACTTCTAGTTTTTTTTTGTATGTATGTTCCAATGCTTTGGGCATAGGGACCCCATTGATACCTTATTCCAGGGAGACAAAAGAATTGAGGGTTTAGAAAGATGGATGGCCAAAGTAAAGTGCACCCAAGAAGAGATTTAGATTTTATTTAATGTTCCCGGCTTATATGTAGTTCCAAGCCCACAATGAGTACATAAAGACTTGGAAATTCAGGCATTGATCAGAAGATCATAGAATCTCTAAAGTGCAGAAGCAGGCCCTTTGGCCCATCAAGTCTGAAGAGTATCCCACCCAGACTCATGCTCCTACCTTATACCCATAATCCTCCATTTCCCAACATACACATCCATGAACACTATGGGTGATTTAGCATGGCTAATCCACCTGGCCAGCATATCTTTGGTCGTGGGTGGAAATTGAAGCACCCAGTGGAAACCCATGCAAACTCCAAATAAACAGTCACCCAAGGCTGGAATCGAACCCGGGTCCCTGGCGCTGTGAGGCAGCAGTGCTAACTACTGAGCCACCATGCTCCCCAAGCCTAGTTAGTGCAGAAACCGGGATGCTAGCACCATTAGCACCAACTGGTACCCAACATCCTGATTGTGCCATCAGTTGTGCTCTCACTGGAGCCGTTCATCAGAATGACTCGCAACCCCAGCAGGACTGGCTATGTACAATGAACAGTTGTTATGCTGCCACCAGGAGTTAACACAATATTCAAATAACCTGTATTGAACGTGGGATGTGTTAAGTGTAACCATGCTGAAGGCACGTAGTGTAAATAACAAATGCTTGTGCTTTTCTTGTTGAATATTTTAGGTAGAGGGCCCTGTGCTAAGAATCTTGCAGGTGACTCGTGCTGATGATGGCGATTATATCTGCCGCGCAGAAAACATCTTCGGAATGCAACAACTTAAATTCTCCGTCTTGGTTACCTCCACAACATCCAGTATGTAAACCCAGTCATTCTTGTTCATTATTGAACTATTCACAATTGGATGTTACCACCAGTTTTATTGAATGGTGCTGGTTTCATATTGTTGTCTGCTTGCAGAGAGTTTAATTGTACGTTAAAGAAAAGAGAACTTTCATTTCTATAGCACCTTGCAAAACCTTGAGTTGTTTCAAAATGTTTCACAGCTAACTAAGTACTTTCAAAATGTAGTCACTCTTGTGGTGTAGGATCTAGTTCAGAATGTATATCAAAGTTTTTGGAATAAAGTCTGATGACTTGATTAGGTGGAGAGTTTTATAACATGACAGGCTTATCCTGATAAAATCAAGTTAAAACGCTGATTGATTTTAAGCTGGAAGTAAATAAGTGTGGCTTTATTTACTCTTTGGAGATCCATGAAAGCTTGGATTTTCTTCACTTGAGTCTTCAAGTAAAGATTGAAGCTAAAGTCAGAAAGTATACCAACCAGAATATCACTATCTGGACAGGGAAAAATGCTTCACTGAGCGCAGTTAGTGCTCAGCTGCAGGGAACCCAGTCTGTGGTTACCTTTCGTTTAGTGGTAACGCACTCACCTCTGTGTCAGCAAATCATGAGTTCACATCACAGGAACTTGAGCACGTCATCCAGGCTGGAAGTGTCAGTGCTGCACTGTCAGTGTACCACCTTTCAGATGAAGCAGTAAAGTAAAACCCTTGTCTACCTTCATGGACGGATCCATGTCACCAGGGAGCGTGGGATTCCTCCCCAGAATCTGAACCATTATCATGTTCAAAACCACGCAGAGTTTAGATAGAGCAAGTAGTGTTTCTGGTGACAGCATCTGTTAACAGAGGACACCAATTTAAGGAGATTCCCAAAAGCACCAGAGCTGACCTGAGGAAATACTCTTTAGTTCACAGAGTTACGGTGATTTGGAACACACTCTGAAGGAGTGCTGGATGTTGATTCAAAAAGGAATTGGAAAGATACTTAAAGGGTAAACCTTGACAGGGTTTTCCAGAATGAGTTGGGGAAGAGGATTAATCAGAAAGTTCCTACTCCTGCAATGACCTTTCATCAGCACCAGATGGGTCGCATATGCTCCATCTGTGTTGTATCACTCAATCACATTGATCCCTAACCAACATTATTAAAACAAAATAGACAGCTGGTCACTGGTTTCACTGCTGTTTGTGGGATTTTTACAGTGGCTGCTTTTCTCTACATTCAGGAGTGATTCTAATGCAACATTACTTTGTTAGTTGCAGTGTACTTTAGAATGTCATGGAGTTGTAAAAAATGCTTTACAAATGCATCATCTTACTTTTACCACATATTGGCATAATATTTGAGGGAGATTGTGGTGTGGTGGTAATGTCACTCATGTGGTAAACCCAAAGTCCAGACTGATGCCGTGGGGACATGAGTTCGAATCCCACCAAACTTTGTAAAAACCCATCTGGTTCACCAGTGTACCTATAGGGAAGGAAAGCTGCCATTTTACGGTCTGGCCTACATGTGACTCCAGACCGACAGCAACTGCCATTTGAAATGACCTAACAAGACACTCAGTTCAAGGGGCAGTTAAGGATGGGCTATAGATAGTGACCATGCCAATGGCACCCACATTCAATGGAAGAAGAAGAATTATTTTGTGGTTAAAAAAAGAAGCTGTTCATTCTTTTGCTACCTTATGCTTAATGTTAACCTTTCTCGTTGTGCTATAGGGGAACTGTTGCCAATTATAAATACGGGGCCACAAGACGTTACTGTCATTGAAGGTGGTGATGCCTCCTTCAGCTGTCAAGTTGTTGATGGAGCTCAACCATTCAGCATCAAGTGGAAAACACCTAATGAACCATTACAAGGTACACCGCAATGGGACTTAGAGCTGTGTTGTGTAAAATGCTGATACCTGAAGGTAGAATGGGAGCTGGTGAACAGGTTAACCTTTTAACCTTTTGCCTAGAATGTGTTTAAAGAAGGACTTTTTTTTATAGAATCCCTACAGTGTGGAAACAGGCCCTTCGGCCCAACACGTCCACACTGATCCTTGGAGCATCCCACCCAGACACATCCCCAAAGAACCCACCTAATCTACACATCCCTGAACACTATGGGACAATTTAGCGTGGCCAATCCATCCTAACCTGCACATCTTTGGATTGTGTGAGGAAACCGGAGCACCCGGAGGAAACCCTCTCAGACACGGGGAGAATGTGCAAACTCCACACAGACAGTCGCCTCAGGGTGGAATTGAACCTGTGTCCCTGGTGCTGTGAGGCAGCAGTGCTAACCACTGAACCACCATGCTGCCCCCTATTCTTCAAATAACCATTTAATTGGGATTTTCATTAAGGTCTATTTTAATATAATGTTCCCATTACTTAACCTGCCCTCATGTATCATGGCGGCATGGTGGCTCAGTGGTTAGCACTGCTGCCTCACAGCACCAGGGACCCGGGTTCAATTCCAGACTTGGATGACTGTCTGTTTGGAGTTTGCAAGTTCTCCCCATGTCTGTGTGGGTTTCCTCCTACAGTCCAAAGATGCACAGGCTTGGCCATGCTAAATTGCCCAATAGTGTCCAGGAATGTACACACTAGGTGGACTAGCCATGGGAAATGCACGGTCACAGGAATAGAGTGGGGGAACTGGGTTTGGGTGGGATGCTGTTCAGAGGGTCAAATGGCCTCTTTCCACACTGTCGGGCTTCTATGATTGCTAATGTGTACATGGAGCCAGAGAGATATATAAGTGGGACCACACTCCGGAATGTTAAGTCCATGCAGCGTCTCCCAGGTACCTGATTAGTACAGGGTGTTTCAGGGAGATCCAGCAAAAGGAAAAATTAATAGACTTCAAGCAGAACACCTTGCAATATAAGCCATTGAACATTAGACCCAATGTGTTTACTGTGAAAGGTGGAGATTGTTTTCCTCACTCTCTTATTGACTCTTGAACCACACACTGTACTGTTTTGTGAGGGTGACGGTCTTGGACTGAGATAGACAAGGTCAGAAGTCACACGATGCCAGGTTATAGTCCAACAGTTCATTTGAAATCACAAGCTTTCGGAGCGCTGCTCCTTTGTCAAGTGGCGTTTCGTCATCTGATGAAAGAGCAGTACTCCAAAAGCTTGTCAATTCAAATAAACCTGTTGAAATATCACCTGGTGTCGTGTAACTTCTGCCCTTATTTTTTAAATGAAATGTTTAAAGGCTGGGTGTTGCTGTCTGGATTGCAAGTTTTAGATTGTCTCAATCATTGAGAAGCCTTACTTTTCCTGGATTTCATCTAGCTTCAAACCACACACCTTGGTTTAAAGGTGTTGATACCAGATTTATGACAGTGGCTATCCAGCAGTAAATGTATTACTAAGTTGTTAATGATCGCATCAATGCAGCCTTGTTCTTCCTCTTCACTGTTTTGAAGCCTATATGTCAGTCTCTTGCGCAGCAAACGCAGGACACATCTGAACTATCGCAATAGCAACATGAAGTTCTTCTAACAGCTTTATCTGCTCATCTTGTGTTTCAGCTAATGTGAAGATCAGTAATGATGGCTCTGTGATTAAAATCACTCGAGCTCGTCAGCGTGATCAAGGCCAGTACAAATGTGTAGCTCAAAATCGGTTTGGATCAGCATTCAGCATAATGACTCTGGTTGTACAAGGTACAAAGTTGTAAAGTAGAAATGCTTTTTTAAAAAGTAGGCCCATCTGTGGAAGCATCATTTCACAACTATCTCTGCATTTTGTTACCCCTGACAGTTGACCAGTTCTCAATGTTCCTGTCTCTTGATAATGCATGTTTTCTTGGATTTTCTCCAAAGGTTGCTGAATTAAGTACATCATTTACATTGTGACCTTACTCTTTGATTTATGCCTTCCTGAAGAATATTTAGCATTTTGTTGACTTTCCTGTAGCACATGACCAAAGTGTTTATTCACTCCTCATCTCTTGGGTTCCCTTTTCAAACTCCATTCTCCTGACCCAAAAAAATTCATGTAATCTGGCACACACTGGTAACAGATGGCACCGGTAAATCAAAAATGTTGGTTAACAGAAGAAGCACTGACTTTAATGAAAATCATGTACCATTCAGTCCTGTGAGTTCTGTCAGTAGTTAATGAGCTTTGGGAACCACTCGGGGTCTTTGAAAACGAAAGCAGAGCTGAATAAGTACTTGCAATAGCAAGTGGGCAAGTTTAAAGAATATTGGCTGACTTTAGTTGTGCAGTTATTAAACTTCACAACAACCGGCTAAAGCTGTCCAGCTGTTACGACAACACTCGGATGGTGGTCTCCATCAATACAGCTTCCATTTGGAAAAGTACACAGGTTCACTGGGGGATATTGAAGATTCTGGGTGGTGGAGCATTCTGATTTATACAGAGCTAGATAATGCAAATTTTAACTTAAATCATTTGCCCTTCTTCAATTAAATTGTTTGTCAGCAAAGGCAAAACCAATTTAATATATTTATTCCTCTTAATTCAGTGGAATTGCCTGCACTGTGCTTTCAAGTATCAGCCATGTGTCAGTAATAGCACAGTCATTACTGAGCCAGAAGCTTGTGGGTTCCAACTTGAGTAAATGATCTGGGTTGGCAATCCAACGCAGTCCTGATGTAGTGCTGCACTGTCAGTGACTCTCACGCTTTGGATGAGATGTTAAAACCTGAGACCATGTCAGAACTGTTGGGAGAAGTAAAATTTCCCATTGCACTATATGAGAAAGAATAATGGAATTTCTGCTGGGGTCCTGGCCAACAAAAATGCAACTTCAATTATGACTAGAACAGTTAATTATCTCATTGCTGTTTGTGGGATCTTGCTGTGACTTGAGTTGATTGCCTCATTTTCCTGCATTATAAACAGGAGCAGGTTGTCTGGGAGGCATGTAGAGATATCTTGAGAAGGACTGTATGAAAGAGCTATTTTCTTTATTTTCAG